TTTGTTTTATCTCTGAAAACACTTTCTTAAATTTATCTCTGTAAACGCGTTTTACACGCTCACGCTGTGTATCTGCACCACTCTCCGTCAGCATATTATTGTCTGGATTTCAATTGGCTGAAAAACTGTTTCTAAAACTACATCGAAAAATTTATGAAATAAAAAAGAAAAATATCTATATTTTATTCAACTGCAATATTTTAATTTTATTCCCATCGATTTCAGATTTTCTTTCCGTCCCAGATCATTACGTACTTTTGCGTAGTCTGAATCCGAGCTCGGTAATATCTACTTCCTCTCCATGATTATCTCGTAAAAGAATTAAAAGAACAGACAGTGCATTTTTCTTTCATCAATAATCGGATAACATTACCTTGTGAAATCAACTCTATTAAACCCAACTTAAGTAGACAATATATATGGCAAATTAACTCCTTTGTTTTTCTTCAATATGGCGTGTAACAAAGAACCTCGTTTTCATATTCGAAATATCGAACCCGATCCAAATATAATATTCTTCATATATATATTAATATATTTGTAACTTACGGATTAATTTATCGTTCTTTTTTTTTTTCAAATACATTAATTAAGAAGACATCAATCAATGTCATATTTACTTGTTTTTTAAAGCATTTTTTGTGGCCTAAAGTTAAAAATTATTCCTATGTAAAGCTTTAATTCATTTAATTATTATTCATTATTGTGGCCCAACCCTAACCCTGGGGCCATAAATTGAACAAACTTAAATCTACACTGGCTGAGGATGGTTCCACATATAGTAAAACTCATAATAATGCTACTGTTCAGCAGAGGAAGATTTTAAAAGTTTTCCCCCTTTATGTCCTATGTAAAACTTTGATGCCCAACGTGGCCCCACCCTATCCCCAGGGGTCATGATTTGAACAAATTTCAATCTACAACACCTGATGATGCTTCCGTATCAATATGACTAATCATAGCTTTGCTGTTTTTGAGAATAAGATTTTTAAAGATTTTTTTCCTATATATTCCTATGTAAAACTTTGATGGTCCATTGTGGGCCCGCCTTAATCTCGGGGGTCATGATTTGAACAAAATTAAATCTACACTACCTGAAGATGATTCCACATAAGTTTTATGTTTTCTTGTCCAGTGGTTCTTGAGAAGAAGATTTTTAAAAGATATCATCAATTTTTCACTAATTCTTTATTATCTCCCCTTGGAAAAGGGCGTGGCCCTTAATTTGAACAAATTTGAATCCTCTTTACCCAATGATGCTTTGTGGCAAGTTTGGTTGAAATTGGCCCAGTGGTTCTGGAGAAGAAGATGGAAATGTGAAAAGTTTACAGACGGACGGACAGACGGACAGACGGACAGACAGACAGACAGACAGACGGACTACAGACAAAATGTGATCAGAAAAGCTCACTTGAGCTTTCAGCTCAGGTGAGCTAAAAACAAATAAACATTCAAGGGTAAAATGTTTGAAAGATTTTTCTTATTTCAAAACAGGAATGTCCGATTTCGATTAACTTACCTTTCATAGCACCTATTATAGTAGAAAAACGTTTTTTCTTTCCATTAACCGGCCCTTTATTTTCCAACATCACTATAGACTCCTGATTTTCCATGATATTTTCAAAATAACAGAAAAGTAAGCAAGATTCTCCCACAGTAAATATCAACTATTGAAAAGCCTTGATCAAACTATGACTGAGAAAAACCAATAGTATATAAAGTCTTCAGCAATCATCAATAAATATCTCTGAATGTCTACAATCGGGGTGTCAATATATCGTCCAAACACTCCAAACTTTAAAAAATGTAATCCTACTCTATGAAGAAGTCTCGATCTTGATCAGCTGACTTGGCAGTAGTACTCCTTAATGAAAATATCCTGTAATTGTGCATTATCTTAGGATTTACAATATCCTATTAACTCTTGGGACTCTAAAAGTGATCCTTGAATGAGTGTCCCACCATCCAAATATCTTTATTCCCGTGTTATTAAGCTGTAAACCAAAGCAGCTCAAATTTCTACCCTAGTCTTGAAACATTCACACCCAAAGAATTGTATCTTGTAATCAGTGTGTAGTCTTAAAAGGTAGATAAAGCCTTGTTAGGTCTGATGGTGTCTCCCAAGTCATCAATCTTGTACAATGACAATAATGTAAGTGTTCACGGCTCCTTAAATCCCACAGCGGGCGGCTACTTTTTACCCTTGCCAAATTCTTCCATAAAAATCTCATTGATTACTTATTGAAAGGAAGAAATGTTCATGAATAGATTGATCAGTTTAGATCACTTGTCTACATATTTACTAGATGATTTCAGGTAATGAATTCAAAAGGCCCTTGAATGGTTGCACGATTTGCTTAGCCATAAAATGTTGGCTGCCGTGAGATTGCCTTGCAGACAAAATTTGATGAAATTCAAAACAACACCTACATTAAAACTAAAAACCTTCCCTCAATCCATTACATGCATTTTAAAACAGCAAATGCACTCAAATTTTTTAAAAAAAATTTATAAACTTGATTTTTCCTTTCTTTTGGAACAGAACTAAAATTTATTGAATGCCATAAAGGAGACATTTAATAATTGTTTCCGATACATATTCTTTAATAACTACCTTTGCAATTGAAAGTCTGGTGAAATGCAATACTAAATTTTTTTATATCGCAAGAAATGAAATTGCATGCTTTAAGATTTGGAATCTTGTAGAGTTGCCAAAATAATAAGTTGACTATCCTTATGGTTTAAGATAAGGTTATCTTCGATTCAAAGAATAAAATGACAAATAGTTGTCCTTTTCACAGAACTGTTTATATAGACTCCTGACATTTTGCGATCTCTAACCTGGTTACAGGTACCTTTAGATAGGCAATAAATGCTTTTCATCTGAAAGAAGTTTCAAAGAGCAAAATCTGAAAAGCTGAAGCAAAGAACCTATATATAATTTTATGCAAATAGTATTTATCCAGTAATGCCAAATAAACTTCATTCCATTACAAACAAATCATCAAGTTCAATCACTTAAGATTCCAATAATCTCGTTAGAACACCCTTTTCCACATTTTCTCTGCGTTTCACATTTCACCTGACCTCTGGATACCCATCAACATCTGATACTGCTAATATTTTTAGCTCCTTTAACCTGAGGCCTCAGGTATACATTAATATTGATTCTCTACCATGTCTAATTACATGGTATTAATAAGACAAGATTTGTTGAGGAAACTAGTCACTTGAATACGCAAAACAATAATTAAACTCCTTGCAAATTAGTCAAGCTTTTCACTGGAATTTTCTGCATCTTTATCAGTATAATAATGCACAGCATAGCATTTCCATTTGTGATGCACATTTTCAGCTGTTGTGCAGTGTAAAACTTGACAAGAGAAAGAAAAAAAACTAAACATCCTATCACAAAGCTAAACTGAAAATAGAATCTCTGTAATGCTGAGCAGACAAGATTTCCGACATGCCGATACATCTACTGCAACAGACTGAAGCCTGTTTGGGTTTCATCTACAACCTTTTCATTTGTTCACCTGAGTTTTAGCCTAACCTCATCAGTTCTTGGAGCTAATAGGCATGGGATCAATATATTACTCTTGTTCATAACTTAAACAAGGGAAACATTATGATCACTTCTTCTCCCCAAACAAAACGATATGCTTAATTATTGATTGCAGCTCAATATGGACCAAGAGGGTTACCTGGGTATAATGACTTCGGAACAAATAATCATTTAACATACAATAGCAAAAGAATAATGTATTTCCATTAAAAATCAAACTATGAGAATTGACTAACTGTTCTTTAGAAATCAGGATAAATTGCCTAAAATATACTGCATTAACTTAAAATCTTTTAAATACAACAAAATCAAAACATAAACAAAACCATCTTTTAAATCAGAATCTCCACAACTTTGAAGTTTGTGAAAAGCCCTGAATGAAATCAATTTTGACATTCACAGTGTTAAATAACATAACATATAAATTCCTGTGTCAATACGCCTATCTCCTTTAAGGGCCCTGATAGTTTTCAAACACAAGACGGCATAATAAAACCCTCCACACTGGGAACCAGATTACTAGCTTTTGTAATCCCCCTACCAGGAACTAGTCCAAAGTATACTTGTACAGGTATCTACTTCAGTTAATCAGCTTAAACAAATTATCAAATATTTTCAGTAGAAAATTCTTACAGTATCAAATTCAGCTTTATAAACCTTATGATAACAATGAAAATTATTTTTATTTATTTTTTACGGTAATTCTTTTGGTAATATTATTATAGTTTGCATGTTCATAAATAATTCAATCATAACTTCAATTGTTCATCAGATTTTTAAACTTCCTCTAGGAGGTAAAATTCTTCATAACTTTCAAAGTACTAGTATGGCCCTAATGTTTAGTCCTTCATTAAATACAATGTATTCCAGATATGCAACATTCCAATCTTCCAAAAAAAAAAAAAAAAAATAATAATAATAATAATATTATATTAATATATATATATATTATATATATATATATATATATATATATATATATATATATATATATATATATATATATATATATATATATATATATATATAAAATATTAATATTATATTATATTAAATATTAAATAAATTTAAAAAAAAATTGCAGACAGATTTCTCTAAAACAGAAAAAAAGCTCTAGCCTACTCACTCTCCTTGAATACACTATTAAAAAAGTTTATCTTGTGCAAAATAAAGCACAACTTAGTTTGTCATGATGAAATTATACCTTTACAACCGGAATTTTTACTGCAATGTTATTTTTGCTTTTCTAAGCCTTATCAATTTTTATTTCATCTTAAAGATACTATTCTCTAGAGAGTCTGGTTGTTTTTTTTTTCTTTATACATACAGGAATAAATTTAACTACAGCATTAATATTTGGAATCTATTCTACAAGAATTGCAGGAAAAAAGCACTACAGAGTGTCCATTATTTGTCATCAATGAATTGACTTTACCTTCCATTTGTTCCTCATGTTTATTCCTGAGTGCAGCAATGTCAACTTCCTGAGCCTTTTTGAGCTTCTGAATTATTAGTGAATTGTCGGCTTTCATTTCAGCAATCTACAAAGAAATCCATGCATTTTACATAATTTTACTTACATTGAGGCATACAAATGAAAAACAAACTTTCAAGAGTTATGTCCCTTTTTACACTAACCATTTCATCATGAGTTGTTTTTATATGGTCTATTTCTTTACAATGGTATTCTTCAGCTGCAAAAAGAAAAAAAATGTTGTCTTTCAAAAGCCAAAATAAAAATAATCCAGAGAGAATGTGTTGCAATGTTTATGTTATTTATACATGTATTTCCCAAATACTGTGTTATTTAATGAAATAGGTGAAGATAATGAACAGTGATCAATCTCATAAATACAGTAAACAAAACAAATTGTAAACAAGACAAAAACATGGACCACTGGAAACACCAGAGGTGGGATCAGGTGCCTGGGAGGAGTAAGCATCCCCTGTCGATCAGTCACACTCGCCATGAGCTATATGTGCTGATCAGGTAAACTGAGTAATCCATACTCAAAGAATGGAGGCTTACAAGGTGAGGACAATCCCCCATTCTGAGACAAAATATTTCTCAATTTTATAGGTTCATAAAAAAGTTATATTTTTCAAAAAACGTGTTGTCAGTATCATCTTTGCACACATTTGATTTCTTTATTTCATTGATTTACTTACTGATAAAAAAATGTGGGTTTTTTTTCAGTTATGTTTTTAAGGTATGTAAAAAGAGAGAGAGAAAAAAAACACAATTAAGCCTCATATATGATTCAAACTCTTTCTGAAGCTCATAGGAGTCATGTTTAACATGTTAACCACTTCTCTACGAAGTCTTCTTTATTATTGCAGTGTGTCAGTGTGGTTTAAATAAACTAGTTTGTTGTAGCATACTTTTTTTCCAGAAATATTTGATTTTAATATAGAACAGGTTCAGATTTCCATTTTTTTAAACACATAAAACACTTTTAACATTCATTTTTCCATCATTTAAATGTTAATGTAGACTGGAGATTTGACCATTCATACCCGGTATTTAAAAATCACATTTTATGGCTCAATAAACCCATTTTCCACTAAATATGCTTAAATAACTGTCAAAAAAACATTAATCAATCAATTAGTTATTCAATACAATAAATGAATCAAATGTGTGAAAGATGCCATTACTGACAACATAATTATTGAAAATATAACTTTTCCATGAATTTTGAAAATCAGAAAGTAATGTTCTCTCAAAGTGGGGGATTGTGCTGACCTTGTAATCCCTCATTCTTTAGTATAAAAACAAAAGCCTAACAATTATGAAATATGTCAGTCAAAATAGGACTAAATGATAGGCTGTATTTGCTAACACGAACATTATAACGACCATAGAATTTAGGAAATGCTGATTTTAAACAAGGTTGTTGAAATCCTTGTAACATCTACTTATTTTAAATGATGAATTAACAATTGTACATAAGGTCATATTAATTAATAAACTGTAATCAATACTTGGAATAAAACACAATCAATTTCACAGTTTCTAAAAGAGTCCTATAGAATGAGACAGTCACCAGATTACTGCTGCAAGTTTTTCTTATGATCAAAATTGTCCAACCTGGACCTCATCTCTGCACTCAGGTGATGCATGTTTTTAAAGTTCTAGAGTACTCATTTGTTTTTATCACAATACAATGTTTGTCCCTCAAACTTCTTGGGATATAAAGACAATTTTTTAAATATAAATATGCTCCAAAAATGAACATTATGGTTCCACTATAATTGGTTAAAATAAGGGTTGAAGTGGCGTCGTAGAAACAGATGAAATTTATGTTCAAAAAGTTACACATAGTAATAGGTGACTTGAGGGACTAAAATGACCTAAAAACTCTTTCCCTTCAACAAAATTATGCCTGCATTTTTCTACATTAACATTTTTTTTTAAACTGCCGACTTTCAAATTTTGTTTTGGAAAAAGAAACAGTGCATGCATGATTTTAACATTGTTGACTTGGAATAACTTGTGTGTTGTACCTAGCTGTCTGTAATTAGTCAAGTTTTCCTCATGTTTTTCTTTTTCCCAGGATATCTGCTTCTCATGTTCCACTTTGAGGGCATTGATTTGGTCCAAATGGTCTTTATTCAGTTGCAATATGGATTCATCTAATTTACCCTTCTGTGCTTGAAGTTCCTCTGTAATCAAAGACCTTCTGTATATAATCTAATAAAATGAAGTAAACATCAGCTGATAAATATCAGGTGCCCCCCAAGGGGCTTTTTCTGAAATATAATTTGTTATATTTTGGTTCCGCTGAAAAACCTGCAGCCATCACTTAAGTTATGATCAATACATAAAACACAAGGGAATCAGATACTGTTAATTGTTTATGAGAATAACATTTAATGTATTTTGGTTTGAATTTGTTTGGCCAAATCTATAATCACATAAGTAAATCATACTATGCATATATATAATTCAGTTCTTGTGATCAAATTGCTTATACTCAGGCAGTTTAATTTTATTAGAAAGCAAACACTAAAACATCTATAAAAACTTATTTGTCAAAAGTTTTCAAACAGGAATCATGTTGGGTTATATATTGTTTATCTTACCAATTTGCTGCTTGGTTTCTTCAAGCTGTGTCTGTAATGTTTTCACTTGAGAGGACAACTTTGGATTCGAAAAGGCATCCAACTGCAATGAATATAGTGAAACCTATCAGGGAATGTCAAAAGCATACTTCAGTATAATTTAATTTTGTTTGTATTCTAGCCTCTGATTGGTCAATATCCAAAAAGGAACACAAATTATTTCTGTATAACCTGGTTTGGTATGGGGACACACCCCCCTGACAACCAGCTGAATCGTCTGTATCCATGCAATGCTCTCATTTCCAGTCCTCGGGATTCATGGAAAATTCCAGATTTAATAAATGTACCTTTAGCTTCAAACAGTAACTCGGATCTTACCACATGCAAACAAAAAACATGGCTGCTAGGACTATGTATCAGTTTTTACCTCCCCTTGCTTCCCATCACTTCCGTTACTAGGGTTGTATTATTGAGCGGCAAATTTGAACTAATAAAAAGCAACGAAATTTTACACCCACAGTTGTTTAATGATTTTAGAATTAAATTATAAGGAATGACTCTAATTCTTGGCCAAATTATTCGAGTATAACCTGGTTTTGGTCAGTTTACGCTGTTTTATAATCCGCTTCGCGGATTATAAAGCGTAAACTGACCCAAACCAGGTTATACTCGAATAATTTGGCCAAGAATTAGAGTCATTCCTAAATTAACCAAAATTAAAGTAATAAAGAAATTCAGCAGTTTTGAATATGGTAAACAACCTTATTTTATGGTGCAATTGGAGAATGAACAACTATAATGAATTAATAATTTATGAGAAAGAAATCACAAATTCAGAATGTTGGGGGGGAAAAAGCAAAACATAGTGAAGTGTACAGTACATTTAACGACTGCAATCGAGTAGTGCACCAAATCAGCTAAGTCAATAATTTGCAAAGTGCTCCATCAAGAAAACAAAATATATATGCATGTCATGACAGTAGACTTAGTCCAGAATACCTACATCTTGAGAGAGATATTGCACCATCACTGTCATGGCATCGAAAGCCTGTAGATTACTCTTCATCTGCAGCCTGGCATAGTTGAGTTCCTTAGTCCGACTCTCGCAGAGGGCCTCTAGACGGGTGACTTCCTGTTTGTTGTGGAGACTGATGACATCTGATTGCTGATTGGCTGGTTTCTGGTTGTTCTTTGTCTTGGTCTTGTTTCTGTTTTGGTCTGGAAAGTAAGGATAGTACAGCAAATTAAGCCTTAATGAAGAAAGCACATGTTTCACAATATGTGTGATAGAGTTTGAAAGGTAAATTACTAATTAAAAGAATTGTGAATGAATAGTTTTAATCTTAAATCAATATTATATTGTTGTATAATTTTTCAAGATCAAGCCAAAAAACAAAAAACAAAAATAAAAAATCAACAAACTGACACATCAGTTTTTCTTTTTAAACAAATATTTAAAGAAATTCTGATTGTTTCTCAATATACCTACACTGAAGGAAACATGCATAAATAGATAATGGGTTAATGCACATACTAGTTAGAGTACAATTAAATGGGATGACAATTTCAAGACACAAGTATGGATTTCAGCATTGATTTAAAATACAATGAGGTTTTATGAATTGTCATGGTTTATTGTTAAAGCTTACCTGAAATTGAAAAGGTATGAAATATGAAGAAAGCCAACGTTATCATCTCCCAACACAACCTATTAACCTACCCTACAGTCATGTAAAATCTGATACCAACTTAAATATCACCACAGATTTACATAAATTGTGCTTGTAATCACTGTGCATAAATGCAAGAGAAAGTTACCATGCTGTTTTCAACATTTAAAATTTGGTGAACAGAATCAATATTCTCGAGATTTCCAATTTAAAGACACGGACCCACCTTTTTCACAGATAAAAACACCTCTTGAAAATTGACTGTATGTTTGCATTAAGACATAGGACAAGTTTGATCTTGGAAATGGATCTTAATTTACAAAAGTATACCAACAACAAGAAAATTTAAAGATAGCAAATTAAAGTTTGCTACCATGCACAGTGTATATGAAAGAACAATTTACTACCTTTGGACACCAATATATTGATCATAAAGCCATTAAAATGTGATGTTCTATTTTACTATTCAAAGTAACTTAGTGTGATATTCTATTTGCTGTTCATGCAGAGAAACTTTTTCAACAAATTGTGGAGATGCATATGGCTACCATATTGCTTGGATCTGCTTCTTAAATCTTCATATATAAAGCATGCATGATTTAAAACTGAGTGCCAGTCATGTTTAATTTTCTTCACAGTATAGCAGACTGGTTTTTAATTAAAAAACAACACTTAGAGCTGCACAAACTGCATGTTCTTAAAATTATGCAATGCAAGATTTCATCAATTTTTTTGCAGAAAGCTTGATTTAGAATTTGTATAATTTTTCTCATTTTTTTTAAAAGTCTTACAACAAAAAACAAAAATCATTAAAACAATACTCTAAACTTCCATTAAATTATATATCTATGATTTCATTAATTATTACAATTATTATAACTGCACTTATTCAGTCCAATCAAAGTTTAGACAACATACATAAGCAATATTGAACCAGCAAGCTAGGACAAATGGTGTGAATGAGTTATGTTAAATAAATCTTTGTCAATATGAGAGCAGAAATATTGAAATAACCTCAAAATGCAAACCATGCCAGACAATGCACAAAATCAACCCCGTATTAGATATCTACATGATCAAGTCTACCTCTTCACTGCTTACCTCCCCTGGAGAACAGCCTTTCAAAGCTAACAAGAAGGGACCTGGGTCTACTGGGCCTGGAGCCTTTGTTCGACATTGCTGTCCAGTCTCTCTCTTGTTAAAATGTATCACTGATTATTGAGAAAAATATTTCCCTCTGGTCAATAATAAAGTGACTAATAAGACCACTGTCCTGTCCCAATCACGCATACAAAACACCAGCTCCTATTGATCTATCATCAGCATATTGATTCTTTGGGGGTTGCCCCAATAAACATCTGTGACTTTCTGTCCCCTGATGCAAATACAATTTTGTTCCCAAAATTGATTACGAGTCATATGACGACTGTCTCCTAGTCAGTGAACTTCCAAGCACCAAATGACTGTATACATGTAAGAAAAATAAATTTTGAAAAATTGAGACTTGGCCCCAGGCATCTGTTTCCAGTCATCACAGTTACAACAAGTTAAAGGAGAGGCGTTTCTACTTCTAATCGCCCTGGGATATCAAAATGAAAATGCTATTGTACATTTCTTTTTCTGCAACTTTTTGTCTGCCACTTCTGGAGTCAAGGGGCACTAAATGCTACCATGAAGCAGACTTTTCAGATAATGAGCAGACCTGGAGTAACTTTGAAAAGCTTTTAAATTGGCTCATTTTGACATCAATTTTCAATTGAGGAAACTATGAAAATTCCTTTGAAAATTATCTTCAACTTGCCTTATGCAATTTTTAAAAAATGTGATAAAACTTACAATTATCGATAAAACTTGCAATTATTGTATGTTAATTCATTTGTTATCAAAACAACAGATAAAGAATAAGTACTTGCCACTCAGATTTCCCTCTTTGAAACAAAATCCCCCAATATAAAACAAATCCGAAAAAACTCTCTTTTTTCAAAGAAGAGCGAACTTCCATGAGAGGCAGACTTCAGAATGCAGCATAACAAAGGAAAAGATGACCACTGCTGCAGATGCTATTTAATTGCCAACTTCCTCACATTTTTCACAGCATCTCAAAAAAACTGCATGAGGTAAAATAACTTCAACATGTGGTAGGAAGATCTCCGTCATGCAAATTAAGTGGCAGAAATGGCCAGGAACAAACCCTCTTCATGCATTCTTGTGCAGTCTTCAAAATCAAAACAAATGGAGGTCTTTCTAAATGTTTCTCAGAAGATCCTTTGTTTGAAGAAAGAGGAGTTGAGATGAACATGAAAAAAATATCATTAAGAACACAGAAAAAGCCTTCGCTGCTTCATTTGCAGTTTGAAGAAATGTCATTAAGAACACAAAAAAAAGCTTGTTCTTTCCATCTCCACTCCGAGATTAATAGATGATTTGTTTCGAAAGGATTTGAGCATCCCAAAGAGAATATTCTCTGCCAATTTGATTTGCACATTCGATGTAATTTGAGGTAATGCTTTGATGGAAATATTACCAGGTAACAAACTTCATGCATATGTACAAGTATGCAATACTGCAATACTTCCCTATACAATATACATGTAACAACCTCAATGGGCAGGAAAACGGAAACTTGATTAAATCAGGAAATAAAAATAAGACGAGGAACTGAGCACCTTTATTATTATAAAAGGTCAAGCCCTGTATGAACCCATCACCACAACACAGTCTCTGAACATATGATCTATTCTATAACACCCTCATCAATGCTGCAAACATACTATATATTATACAAAAATGAAAAAAAAAAAATTCAGATGTTGATCAGTTTTAAGATTAATAATAGTGATGAGTGTGTTCTATTTTAAAATGAGTTTCAAGTAAAAGTATTACATTCAGTTTGGCATATATGAATAACTCTAACAAACTATGGAATTATAAAATGACAATTATCAATAAATACTTCCTAAAACATCGACCCATCTGTGTAATAAAAATTTACCTTGCTTCAGACACATCCTGAGCATTGCTGCCAGCATTTTGGCCATGAATTTGTTACCTTTTTGGAAAAACCATGTGGTGCAAGAAACAAATTAACCTTCAATATTACAGTCAAAAGTAATCCCAACAAAAAAGTTCACAGTAATCTCACAATTTAAGACTATTAATCTCTTAGTTAACATTTTCTAAACCTTACAAATCTTTGTGTATATGCTTAGTTCACATTGGTTTAGGTTTTTTAAATAAACAATGCTGAGATGTCCAGTGACAATGTGAAGTTTTGCCATGTTCACATTAAGTAAAGCACTTCAAAGATATGTCTAATATTGTCATTTGTTCTAATTAAGGTAGTGAATCTTCAACATAATAATAGCTTACAACCCTTACTGCAATATATATAAATATATATATTGGAAGGGGTGGGGTGTTAAGGTTGATCCCAATTCAATAGACAGAGTGTCCTCAAGTGAAATTAATAAATGGCTCATGTCCTACGGAAGTTTAATACCCTTGAGAGAATATCCGTTTTCCTCTGGTGATGTTTACTTTTAAAACTGGAGAAAAATACAATACACAGGAGGTTAATGTGTTTGCACTCAAATGAAAACATAAAGTTCTGGATATATATTCATAATGTTTACCTTTTGACTGTCGACTTTGACTGACCCACAGAACATAGAGGGTGAGTTCTGAAGACCAGTAACAGACCAAAATCACCACAAAATAGACACCACAGAATACCACCACATGATCTACCACAGGCCAAGGTAGCCACTCAGGGTCCACTGCTGGCCACAGAAGCCACAGTGAGGTCCACCACATCCTGGATGCCACATAAAATCTTTCACAGTTACATCACACAAAATGACAATATCTCCTTTATAACCCGAAGCAACACTGCAAGGGTGTTAAATTTCTCAATACTTCGAGATAATAACCCTTCAAGATTGCTCAGGTGAAACTTTTGTCAATGCCTGGTTCAAAATCCCATGTACCGAAAAAATGTCCTTCAAAAGATATATTGTCAAAATATCTTGTTAAGAGTTCAAATTAAAATCAAAGGTGCCCTAGCAAATGTGTGTTTTAATCTTTGGATCAAAATTCATGTGGCACATCTCGAAACTGAGATTTATTGACATAAGAATGTTCATTATTTGTGAAGTTTTTAATGAGCATTTCCAAACAACCCTCTTCAGTGACTATTAACTATAGAAGGTATCAGACCAATTCAGTCTTTCTTGTGTATATACCAATAAATCATCTTCACTGACAGGTAATCAATTTCATTTAGGCTTTTCAAACTCTACTATCAATACACAAAACTTTGGTAATTGTTTCAATATGTATAATCCCAGTTTAATATTTAAACCTAATTAATCCAATTTAGATGCCTTATCTAATCCAATATTCAACTGTTTTACCTATGCACTGTGTCATAAAGGGAATGTAACACCTTTATTATGTGACATACTTCCTTTCAAAATAAATAAGAAAATTAACTTACTTATTATAACTTGTCTGTGGGTCACAGGTTCAAATCTCACACAGGTTTGTACTTTTCTAAGAACTTTATAAATGCATTTTTGGGGGGGGGGCAAATATTGATAATTTTTTATTTTAAAAAAATATTTAAAATAGGAACTATTTTTCCCATATCAATATCCCTCAGTGTCCCATTCCTACCTAAGTTCAAAATACTCCTATTTCTGACTAGATCAAATACTACAATGTACACAGGAACATTATTGGAAATGACTTGCATATCAGTTTGTTTGCTATTAGTGTCCAATTAATTAACATACCAGAGATTCCATGCAACTCATACATGGAATAAATTGGTCATCTAAATCTTCATTAGCCCTTAAATACAGTCATTTATTTACCATAGAAACATCAATTTTCTGTGCCCATCATAATCAAGGCATGAAATTGACAGACAGAAAAATGTGAAGAAGCTCCAATCTTCTCCCCCAAACTTCTTGGTCAAAATTAATAACACATGTCTATAGCTGAAGGAATCAAGTGGTGAAGCTAGCAGTGTGTGTATGAAGATTTATATACAAAAAAACCATCACACAGTAAAAAGATCATCAAATTTTCAGGCAGTGCTGTATTTTTTCTTAGGATGAAAACCAACCATGAACTTTCTATTTAGACAAAGGGGGGTTTCTGTTTGCAATTAAATGAAAGGGATGCTCCCAAATTAACAGGGAGATTTTTTTCTATTTCCAGTATCAATTATAGGAAAAAACAAGATTTTTCCATTTTGTCTATAATTCTGACACAAAGAATTACCAGCTCCCAACATTAACGAGATATCTACAGCTGTTCTGGGAACCACTCAATGTCAAGATCAAAGTCTGAGTTTTTAATACACTGCAGTAAATAATTTCTCAAAATCTAATTTCAGTGAAATTTCATCTTTCATTGCAGTTTTATCTTCATTTTCAGTTAAATCAATTTTGACACAAAATCAAGTATCCTTTACATTTTATGCTTGTATCAGCATTGAAATAACCTTGAAATGACGACTCACCAACTTATTTTGACATTATATGAATTATGTAATGTTAAAAAATACAAAAGGTGTGATATCAAAATGTTTTATAGTTTTTTCCTATTTTTTCTCCATACTGATGCACATGCACTTTACTTTTAATACCTAATCATAAATTAGTTTGTTGGCAACTGAATCAAGAACTAGAATAATTTTTTTTTCTGGACTTTAACTGAATCTTGCAGCTATATCCAGCTTGCACACTACAACATTACTTACTGTTGATTTTCTTTGTAGATGGTGGAGATTTGGGCTTGTTATCTCCCTTTGATTTTTTGCCATCTTTCTTGACCGTGTTTCTACTTTCTTGAGGAGAACTGATTTTAGCCCTGTCACCAGTGAGATTAGTTTTTGTGAGAGGTCTGTTAGCAGGAGAAGAGTCCAGGCTCCTAGAAACCTGTGTTGTTCTTCTGACAGAAGCTGTGAGGTGTTAACATGAAGATTAGGCATGCAAGATGCTATTGTGAGGAGTGAATTTCAGCTTATTATAGCAGACATGCATTCAAATAGCAGATTATTTATTGTTAAACTTTGCAAATTTGCTTTTATTCATACATTTTTCCTTTTTTTCATATTTGATATTGTGAAAGTCTGATCTTTTCTTAAAATCAATTATTCTCTTCTTCAAACATTGACAAAGTTTAACAATGTTTGTAAATAATTGTTGGTGTATGTCAAAAACATAAGAATATTATAAGAATTGCATAAATTTCCCAAATGTTTCATTAAAAGCTAACAAACCAAAAGACATTAGAAATCATATTAGGATAGATGAACATCAATGATGAATGACTCGATCCCTAACCAAGATGAAGCAATGAAAATTAAGCTACCTCTCAGGAAATGATTTGAGAGAAAATGTCACCTACAAATGCATGTTGCAGGAAAGCTTCAACCATCGATTACTTAAGTGTAGAGTTTCTAATCTAACCCACTAAATATAAAGTATCAGTTGTTATCATACAGTATAATACAATAAAACTTACGACTCATTACAGGAACTATGCCCTTTGCTGGGACAGACTTTCGTCTTGGTGCTGCAATATCAGAAATCCTGGAATTCTTTGCATTTAAAGCCTTTACAGATCCCTGTGAGAAAGAAAAAATTTTTTTTTACTCCAAAATGGGGGGGGGGGGGGTTATAGAGAGTTCCTAGAATCCAAGAGTTCTATCTTGTTCTTTGATTGACAAAATTTACAGAAAGGGAATCTGTACATTTTGCTAAATGCATAATCAAAGACACAATTAAATTTTTATTATTATTATAAAGATTTTTTTGTTGTTGCTATAATTTCATAAGTGAAAAAAGACACACCTGTATCTGTAATGTGTTTAAGGAAGATAACTCTGTAGGCCTTGAAAAAACTAATTCAAATAAATGGTACATTTTTGCTTTGTGTTCGTACCTGAGAAGCTGTTGACATGGTGCTGGATGTACTGGCCCGTCTCTCTCGTTCCTGAAGACTGGAGATTCTTCCTAGAGTTTTATCTGTGACAACATTGATTCAACAAGTCAATAACTACCATCTGCACATTGATAGCAAATAAAATCAAATTATATATGAAATAAGTGAAGAATCAATACTTATTACCCAGATATATTTGCTCCCCGCTGATCACTATAGTTTTCCTCGGGAGTAATGAAGTTCACATAAATTAATATTTTATGTTGAATATCAAATAGTGTCTCCGTCCCTTTTTTGATGGTATCAGCAAGAATGGATCTCTTTTAATTAAGGCCAATAGAGATGTAACCCTTCTTAAACCTTGATTCTATAATGTGACTGGGAGGAGACAAGTTTACAGGGAAATGAGGACAATTTTACACATACACATTACTTAACATTAATTATCTTGATATACCCTGTTATTTCCTACCCATCACAAAGTGACTAAATGCGGACCAATGACATCTCATTACTGGGAGGTAATTTCACTTTATTGCTCTGTTTAACAAGGTTTTCCCTTTAAGGGTAGGTAATCTTAGCTTTTAATGACCAGGGAGGATTTCAGCTAAGCAAGCTGACGTTTTACGCCTATAGACTTTTATTGATTGTCTCTAGCATAAAAGCTGCGAAATTTCTGTGGTTTGATAAAATAACTTTTGCAAAATGTTTTGTAACAAAATATTGACTATTGATCAACAAATGCAACTGAACCATGAATAATTTATGGATGAAATTTTAAATTACAAAATTTTTAAATTTTGTAGATGTACTTTTTTTGTGGGGTCATAATTCTGCAGAATCCCAATTTCAGTTCAATCTGCAAGTAGGAAATTAGGCAGATTTCTTGGATTGCCATTATTTGTCTTAACTGCACCTTAAGTATGCTGAGACAAATTTCCTTGGAAGATTTGTGACTGCATACATAGGGTAAATTAATCCCATGCGGAAAAAAGTATGTCTACAGGATATTTGTCAGATACAAAGAAATTATTCTTTTCCTTCAAAAAAAGCTTTTCACACACATAGCCTGGATAAACACTTACTGGAAGGTTTTTGCACAGTTTTGGGAGTACTTGGAACACTAGACTCCCCTCCCCCATCTACACCAGCCAGATCCGATTGGCTGCTCCGGACAGAGCTGATAGCTGACCCTAGTACACTGCTACTAGCTGAGTCATTTAGATCCAGTTTAGGGGCCTTGGAGCTCCCATTGGAAGCCACAGAGGACAGCCTCCTCATGACTTCCCCACTAACACCACCTCTGGGAGAGTCCTTCTTACCAGCTGCTGGAGATGACTCCCTCCTAATCAGGGCCACAGGTGCTCCCAGGTTCAGCTTGCTTTTCACTTTGCTAAAATCTGGTGTGGGCACAGTAGGCAGTTTTTTCTTAGGCTTTTCTTTTGGAGCTGTTTCTTTCTTGGAAGAAGGTGGTGGAGGAGTGCTGAGGTAAGATTCCAGTTTACTTTTCACTTCACTTTTAGGTTTTGCCACATTTTTATCAGCTTCAATTTGTGACATGATACTGTCCCATTTACTTTTTGGAGGTGTCCTTTTTATAATCTTGGGTGGCTCCTTTTCCACTTTTTCCTTTTTCTTCCTTTCTTCATTGCCCTCCTCCTTCCCTCCTTTTGTCTTTGAGTCATTTAGTCTTGCTGCCTTTCCTTTTGGTCCCATGTTACGCTTATTTTTTGCAGCCTCTGTGTTCTCATCCTTAGGTTTTACTGGAACTGGTGCTTTGATGTAGTCTGCTATCCGTGATCCCACCTTAATGTTAGGTTTCTTATGCTCCACTTTCTCAGCTTCCTTTTTCTTCTTCTTCTTTTGAGGTTTTGTCTCCTCTATGGTGACACTGCCCTCATCTGCACTCTCCTCCTCAGAAACCTCCTTGACAGTGACCTCATTCTCCTCATCAGGCTCCTCCTTTTTCTCCTCATTGTCCTCAGCCTCTTTCTCCTCAGAGGAGCTCTCCCTGACGATGTCCATTGTCACATTTAGTTTGTCTAGTTGCTGGTCAGCCTCGATCCTCTCATCCTCAATAACTGTATCTGACACTGTCTGCTGAACATCAGCCTACAAACAGCAGCAACTTGTTTATCATCATTTCTATTTATCATGTCATGTTGTATAAAGAGATAACAACAGCAAGTCAGCCCAGTAGAGAAAAGGTTCCAAAATTTATCACAGGTAACAAAATTATGCTATTTTCTCTTTTTATTTTGGAAGACTTTTTGGCAGATGAAAATCACTTTTTCTGCTTTTCAAATATTTGGTATAATTATTTCCAGAATATCTTATTACAGTGTACTGCCCCATAAAAATTCTACCCTATAAAAAGAGAGGAAAGAGAAAAACAAATTTCATTGTGTATTTATATATAAAGCTTATGGGAAGATTTCACACCTCAGATCGTTGAATTGAGAATACCTACCCCTATTACTAGAGGCTCTGTGTCTTTATCCTCGCTACTCAGGGGTAAAATATCATCAGCAGAGATTCCTTTCACGTCTCTCAGCAGGGTTGACATGTTTTCACTACAAAACAAGATAAACTGTGTATACAGCCCACTCCAACTCAGCAAGACTTATTTATCTATTGGAGGTCCACTACTAGTAAAAGAAACAAGTCCTCCGGCACTAATATTTCACAATAAGAGTTCAAAACCTACCAAACATTTATGATTTTATTTACAGTGTATATGCAAGAGTAACCAATATGTTTTTGAATTGCATAAATTCTTTCAGGGCCTCTATACTGTGAGTTTAAATTTGTCATACACAGTAAAGAAAGTATGTACTATCATCAATATTCATTTCAAGGACAATTTCACCTCTTCAAGAATGAAATGCACAAAGCAATCATCCAAATGAAGCATATTACAAAATCTAATGGACCCCAAAAACTTCAATTACAAAATTCTATTGCAAGGTCTTTTCCTTAACAGTTTGCTGTCACCCTAAACTTGTAAAATTTTGAAACAGAGAGTTTTTCTTAATAGCTAGCTGTTACCCACAAAAAAAGTGTTTATACAATGTGAAAATGAGCCTTTTGAAATCAAGCCCGATTTGTGTATTCAGCTGTAATCTCTACCTACCCGTATATTTCATGTAATTCATAAAAGATCCCATGTTTTGTGTTTTGCTTAAACTAATTTAAATGTCAAGGGTTAACACTTAGGTGTCAATCTCTCTCTGTGTTACATCAAAATCGATATCTCATTAATAATTCCACAAATGTTGTTGCCGGTAATCCCTCCTTTTAAACATCAAGAAATTTAAGAACTACAGGAGACCTACTGCAATGCAAGTTTTCAAATGCATTTTATCCTCATAAATTTACGGCATATTATGAAGACATCAGCTGACACATGGTTAAACTGATAAAACAGTTAACATATGTGAGATCCATTCACATGTACAGTATTCCCTCCTCAAACAATTTTTTTAAGAACACATAAATCTTATACACTGAAAGATTCCTTAACAAATACTTACAATTCGGAATCTTCTTTTCCCAGGTCATTGTTGTCCGCTAAAACAGTTCCTCCGTCACTACAGATATCTGAATCACTTTCCTCCAAGACTTGCCCTGCCCCTCTCAAAACAGCTGAAAATTACAGGCAATGAGAATTCTGATTATAAATTGACAGAAAAAATTCCCTTCACACAATAATGGATTATTGAGCAAAATCCAGTGCACTGTTGCCACTATGGCACCACAATAGCTCAGCTAAGCACTATCTTATGGAATAATGTCATGAATATTTCACAAGACAACCACTCAACATTGATATGAATCAAAAAAAGATACTTGTAGCATTCATCCTGAGTAATCAACAAGTATGCCATCTTTCTGTACAACGTGAGTTCCATTAAATGCCTGGACTCATTCTATTTGTCATAGAAGCAGCTACATAGTAGTAGTTACATGTATCACAATATGTATACCGTACTTGCATGCAATTATTCACACATGCACTTACATGTACCAGGGTATTATCATATTTCAGGGAGTGAACTTTGGTTTTTCTATTTATATCAAACACATGTTTATAATTTTCATACTTCACTAAAAAAAAAAACATGATGATTTTTTTAAACACACTGAATAAATCTGGAAAAATATTTTTTCTTCACTTTTTTTCCCTTAAATTACACATATTACATGTACATTTTATATAATTTGTGCATTTAAAGAAAAAGCAATTTAAGTTATTACAAAGAGATATAATATTTTTCAACAACTTGTACTTACGTAGTGATCAGTTAGTTTGTCAGAGAAATAAAGAAAATAACCTACCTGTCTGGAAGTTCTTAAAAGACTGTGCATAAGCAGCGTCAAGATCAGTCAGTTCCACCCCAGCCATGGAATCGGACGACTGTGCCATTTTCTCGGCCCAGTCCAAGGGGGAATTAATGGTCAGGGTCCCTCGTTCCGAGTCTGTGTCCGGAACATAGCCTGCAAATATAGGTCAGACTTAACAGTCCGATTGAGCCATCAAAGTCAATTAGAGAGAGAGGAATAAGTAATAATAATAAATGTCCATTGTGCTGACTTGTCCAACAGTGACCTTGTTAGGTAAACATGGACTGGGATAAATACTGTCCCCGAGAAAAACCGTTGTACTTCAGGTCATAATTAACCAATCCTATTCTCAGTAGCTTATATATATATATCCTAGTTTACTTACAAATACTTACTCCAATATACAGATTTCTTATTAGCCTTAATCCTTAGAAGTCAATATTAAAAATCTGCGATTACTGGTGTGAATAGACCAGTAAGTAAATGCTTTAATCTTACTGTTGGTCATTCCCAATTCCTTCCTAATTCGTTGTTATCAGCCCCAGATAGCTATAGTGACTCCTTGTATGTCCTACCTGGATTTGTTCTGACCATGAAATTTGTTTCAAAACCTTTTGAACATACAATTAAAAATTCCAAAAGAATTTTAACCCTTCCCATTTTAATCAATAAACTTCACCTTCATTTTCAATAATAAAGTGTTACCTTCCTAAGTCTTAAGCTCTAAACAACCAAGTGCAAGGAATTTTCACTATGTGCTATGCCAACTAAGAGCAGACTTCAGTTAATGTTTACTTTATGGCAATTGCTCTAAAAATCCCTTGCATAAACGAATTATCAGTTTTTTTTTTACCTGAGAGAAATCATTTCCATAATGCAATATCACTTGTCAAATTTAGCAGTCTACATTCAAACACCTTTGCAACTTACCTCCCAATAAGTAAGAAATTTGATTGGTGTCACCGAGTGTGCCGTTTCTGACAACTACTGTTTTCGATAAATTTGTGGCTTTGGATCAGTAAGTTCATTACAGACTCTCCATTATTTTTTCAAAGGTGAAATTTAAAGCCACTTATTGTCCATTGACTGAACTTAAAGTTAAATATCACCCTTTAAATAAAAACCTTTCAACTAATTAAAACATTTCACCTGCTAATTTTTTTTCAGAATGTCATTTCACAAAGAAAAAATTCAAGTAGTTTCAATTTTCTAAAGTTTTTAATTTTAAAGTCATCTGAAATTCAAAAGTGAAAATGTATCCTATTTACTCTCAATAATATTAAGCTATTAGCAAGGTTTTAAAGAGGTGAAATGGCCCTAAATAGCAAACATTGATAATGCAAGATCTTGCCCAAGTCATAAGTAAATATACCTGGATACACACTTTAAAAAATTTCTCAACCTGACTTATCTAGATCTCACATTTAAACTTACTTAATATAGTAAATACACCTACCTGGTAGCTATATTTCTGGTATTTTTACAAGTAAAGATTAAAGATGTCAGTATGTGAAAAAAAAAAATCAAAATATATAATTCATATTTTAATTTAATTTAGGACCTTATGAATTAAAAATATTCTAGCAAGTAAAAATAAAATAATTTGCTTATTTTATACATGTATAATTCAAAATGCATCAAAGTGGATTCCAAATTTCTTACTTCTAATTATGTCTGCATAACCTTGAACCCATTCCAAGAAAATAATCCCTCAAGGTCACAATCCCATGTCAGAATAAACACCTACACCATACAACTGTAATGTTCTCAATTTTTTCTATGTATTATTATTGCAAAAACAATTACAAACACAAGTACCACCTTGCTTGCATTGTATTAATACATTCCTTTTGTTTAGATATATGCACATCTTTGAGAGCTTCACCCCATCTGATAATCCCAGGTGTGAAGAGGCAGATGTTGAAATAAAGCATATCTATCAAATTTTGGGTTAAATACAGAAAACATGCATAATCCTCCTCTGGAAATAGCATGTTATTTCATTTGTTGATATAGTGCTTAATACTTCAGTAAAGATTATTTAATGGCTAAAACTAATATTGGTCTAAAACACAGTTTTAAAAAAAAAAAATGCTTTTTATCTTTAGAGGTACAAATATTCAAATTGCCAAAGTCATCAAAGCTCACTGTAGTGTTAGGATCGTATTTTTTTCATGAGTAAAATTTTACATCCACCTACCAAATTACAGTTATACACAATTATTATAGTGTACAAGCTATATATTGAATTCATGTTTACAGAGGAGTGAACTTTATTCTCCTTGTGGTTTTTAAAACATATTGTAATAAACTTTAATAAACTATGTTTATAACGAAGCAAAATTGTTTTGTTGCTGGCATTTCGTCATAAGAGTGTTTTACTGTATCTTTAAAAAGCTCTCTCTAAACATCCAAGCATAAACCAAATCATCCATTCATCTTACCTGTATCAGCACTAATGGAAGACACAAGAGACAATGGCCGTTCGTTTTTCAGATGTCCAGCAATAAGGTCATCTTGTAGTTGAATTTCCTCCTTCTCTTCCATGAGTTTGTACAAGTTTTGCTTCTCATCTGTCATTGACTGTCTCATCTCACAAGAATCGGCCATCCTACCCTGTTCCAGCGTCAATATGTCACCCTGCTCAGATATTCCAGAGTCGACCATGGGAAGCTTTGGTTTGGGTGCACTGAGGGAGGACTGAGAAAGTCCAGTATCTGAGGTAATCCCCAAACTGCTGATTTTTTCCGTCAGACTATCCACCCGTTGGTTGATCTCTTTTTGAGCAGCAGCCCTGAGCTGATCTTGGTCTTGTGTCCGGTTCATTTGTTTATTTTCGGCACTGTCCTCAGAACTGGCAGATGGCTCGTCCCCATCGGAAGCTTCTGATCTCCAGTCCAGAGTATCAGCCCCCAGCATTTCCACTGGCCTTCCTTCCTCTGACACCTCATATGTCGCATTCAAATCATAGTTAAGAGGAATGTCAAAATCTACATCCTCATCTCCAAGCGCATTCTTGTCTTTGGATTGACTTTCTTTTGCCTGAACACTGAAACTTAAAACACTGGGTTTGAGTCTACCACCTGACACATTTGGAGTTGAAGTAATAGCATTTTCAGCCTCAAAAGTTTCCCCGAGTGATGCCACATGGTCTTGTCTTCTGGACAAAATTGAAACCTTTGACAACTTCTCCAAATCGGTTAGATTTAGCAGTGATTTTTTCTCACCAGCCAACACATTTTCTGTTTCTCCCTGCAACAAATCAGAATTAAGCTGAGAATCATGAATGTCCAACACTCCTAGACTAGAATTATGACTGATATCAAAAGTGGCATCTGCTGAGGATGATGGTTGGAGGTCATCAAAAACTTTCTGGGGATTTTGGGTAGAGCTGGTGGGTTGAGGGGGTGAACCACCACCTTCCATGTCAAAGGTCAAGTTTAGGAAATGGCGATGATCAGATGATAAGCATTCTTGGACCTCCCCACTGATAGAGTCCTCCCCACTACTTTGTGTAGTCATGTGAATATCTGTGGAGACAGGTATTTGAATTTCACCTACATTGTATGTCTTGTTCAAATTCCCACTCAAAAATGTATTGTTTCCAATATTCTCTGTTACACTTGTTTCAGTGGTTAACTGTTTGTTGTCTGACATTGTGCAATTTTTTTCTGTGACAGAAGGAGTAGGTGCTTGTGGAAGTTTGGAAGGAGCAGGTAATTTGCTAGGTTTGGAAAAGGCTGCAAACCCTGGTTCAGCAGAAGATTGAGGCAAGGTGTAGGTAGATGATAGTTTATTTTCATGGGGAATGCAATTGTTTAAGTTTTTATTTTCATTTAAAGCATCTGCACTTAAAGAAGTTGTATAAATAGCACTTTGCTTTGAATCTTTTGAAGACAAATTACACACCTGTTCATTATAGAGTTCTGGGAAAAGCTTGGAGCTCGGTGTTCTAATTTTGGGGTCGATTTTTGGTAAACTCCTTTTTCCAGGAATCACTACAGGTTCCTGAGAAGCAGATGTGCCCAAAAAGTCTACTTCATCGAAATCTTCATTTTGTTCATCAATTTTCGTAGGCACAGCAATTTTTTCTTTTGGATCTTTTCTTGCAAAAATCTGTGGTTGAGGAAGCAGACGTCGCTGTGGTCTAGTAATTACAGTTTTTTGTTCAGGTACATCCTCGGGAGGAACTTCAGTTTCTTCTTCAATTACGTCCCCATGCAGGTCATGAGGTACAAGTTCTATTTTTGACACTTTGTCAACAGGTGCAAATATTCCATGTCCAGGTCGACAAGTAAAATACCTCACACCTTCCACCTCACCATCATGTTTCCCTTCCTTTTCATATAACTCAATTCCACACCATAGTCCAGCAGCAATGTGTGTTTTTCCGAAATATCGCAGTTCACCAAGTTTGATTCCCCCAATACAGATTTTGTCTCCAACTTGAAGGTGAGGTTTTGTTTTTTCCTGTATCGAAAATGCCTTAGTGTGGTCTTGGCCCACGTCTTGGGCTGATGTGAAGGATTTTGGAGTTGGAAGGAAGGAGCGTCTTTTTTCTTTATGCCTTCCTTCCGGAACAGGAAGCTTTCTCTCAAAATTTGCCTGAAAAGATACATCAAATTCGATAAATTCAAAATTATTTATATTTGAATAATTTATATATTTATCAAAATTTCAGGATACAGTTTACCCATTGATTCATTTCCGGTAAAAAGAATTTGAAACAAGAATTGATTTTTCAGATGGGAGTGCTCTAAAGAGGAAAATGTATACAATTAACCACAACAAATAAACTAGATTTTATTGCACCATGAAGACAATCAATTCCAATAGCCCTTTCAGAGAAGCATTATGTTGTGCTAAGAATCAATACTATGAGATCACTTTGAACCAACAACAGCAGAGATGTATTAGCATCATAATGTGCATATATAATCACACCTTAAACATCCACACATTTATACAGAACATCAGGCCATAATCTTGCCATATAGATAAAATTCATAATTCTCAACAATATCTAAATGAACATTTTGCCTTCATATCTTAAGACTTGATTATAAAATTATATCATCATTTTATATCATAAAGGATACTAATAGTAAACTGCATGTTTTAAGTCAATAAAAACTCTTTAGAAGTACATCAATTAATGTAACATTTACATTCTTCAGGTGATGGGGGTATAACTTATATTTATACATGTGAATGACCAGTAGATGTATTGATACTGTAACACATTTCATGGTCACATTAGTGTAATAATAAAAGAGCAACAGCTGCTAAGTGGGTAAGAGCTATATTGATGTATTGCCTATTATATATATACTTTGGCTTCATTTGTACACGTCTTAAGACAATAATCTGAATACTAAACAAGAACAGCTTCTTTAATATCCATAATTTATAATTCACAAAAATATCTGCAGAAAAGCTATGCTAGAAAGGGAGGGGTAGAAGAAGGCAGGGATTTAGAATGGGACAGGGAGTTAGGGTAGGGCCAGAAAAAAAAGATCAGAAAAATAACTACCTCTTTTTCTAATAAACAATGATATTTCAAAGATTCAATTACCCTTGAGTTCTAAAATGGGCAGTAATAATCAAAATAAAAATTGGCAACAAATATGCTGTATTAAAATGGATTTGAGGCTGAGTCACATTTTGTTATACTCTGGTTTGATTGATAAAAAAAAAACTTTTGCTCAGATGACATGTCATTTGAGCCCTACCTAATCAATCAAATGCAATTCCCCACTTCTTGTTTGCTCTGGCTATTCATTATCCTTGTAATGATCAGTCACTAGTGAAATATTATATATCCACCTACTTGATAAATGGTATTAAACTTAAAGAAGTTTAACAAAGATGACAATATTTCAAATTGTGGAAAACTCCCGAGCTGGAAACAGACAATCAAAAAAAAAAATTATCCCCCCCCCCAATTTCCTAAATTGGCACATCAAACAAAGTCTACAGATGTGATAATGGGATACCATTAATCTTCAAAACCTGTCAAATTATTACACAAAATGTACAAGCAGTTTTAAAAAGAGATATATACAAAGACATAATTATTCTTGAAAGAAGTTGCATCTCACAAACATCTAAGAATAAGATGCTATGCAGCACTGTGTTATCAAATTTAATAGACATTGTATGTATAGACTGAAGGAACAACCCATCTCCAATGCAGCATCTACATTGATTTTTCTGTTGGTAAAAGTAAAACAAATGTAGCAGGCAAATTACATGGTGCATACATAACAGATCTCATGAGTGGATCCAAGAATCAATTCATTTAATCTACAGATCAAAAACTTGATACTTGATTGTGCTTGTCATTGAAGAGGTTATAAAGTTTCATATTGAAGTCCAATAATGATAGACAATTGTCTGTTTTAGATAGTGTCAAATATTTGCTTACTGCTTGAGATGAGAACCTATGTAATATCTGCTAAATAAACAGATTTGAATGGAAAAATACCTGAAATGTGTATTTACATTGACACACCTAACAAAATCAACTGTTTTGTGTCAGTGGACAGGATATGACTTCCATTACATGAGGAATATACCTTGTTAAAGCTCAACTCTTATTTGACCTCATCTAACAGTACAACACAGGCATACCTGTCTGTCAGACTAAAAATGACATTTAATTAATTACTTGCTCTTTAAATTTACATCAAGTTGTCTTGGCATATTCCTTCACTGAACACATTTTTTTACATAAATTATGAAATACTTTTAGAATCATTGGCATCTGGCAGTTCAGGCTGCATTCACATCAGCAATGAAATAAATAAATTTAAATAAATTAATGAAAAGAAACTTACCATATTGAACAGTTACAAATGTTTTTTTCACATTCGTTACATATATCCCACAAGCACAGCCAGAAAAGTGAATTATTGATCTGTCGAACGTTACACCTTACTTTTCTTCATCGAAGTGAATGCATCCACATAAAATCTTATATAAACAGTAAACAACTTTCCATGAAACCCACTGAGGAATTCAAAATCCCTTCTGAAGAAAAATTCTGCATCTCATAAACACATCATTATACTTTAACAATTATCCAACTACTCTTGTGAGAAAAATAAAGTCTCCACAAAATAGATCCACTGTGTTCTGAGGTTGTCCCCAATTTAAGCCTTTTTTTCTACCTTACTTGATGAGATAACATAGTATTATTCAGATACAAAGGCAAATCCATGTTATAGGAGATTGCACCACGAAATCAACACGTATCTCTCCTTTGGATGCACATGACGAAATGGCTATAGACCTCACATTCTTGTAACGATGGCGCATTGGTATTGATTTCTTGACAAATGATCAATATTACGAATAAGAAAAAAAAAATCATAAGAGTTTCTCATAGGGAATACACTAATTGTCTCCAACATCCACGGCTATTCCACAGACTTAGTGACCAATGTAAATATTCGGCAGGCAATTAGTGTTTGCTTAAATCTCAAGTTTTTGGACTACTACACATCATTGTTTTTCTTGGTCATACCAATAGAGCATTGAAATTTGATCGATGTTAACAATACAAATCTTTCTCGTGACAGCAAATCAGTAGATCATTTTAAAACATTTAATTATTTTTTTTGATCAGAAACACCTAACATGTGTCTTTCAAATTAAATTTAGTTCCTGCAGTTCATGTTTTTCTTTCAGATAATATATCTTGATCTCTGATCCCATTGTATTGAATTGAAAACCACATAATCATCTAAGCTAAATAAATTTTTCAACAGTGTAAAATATTTACAACAAGATGTGATAGGATCTCTTGAACTCCAATACACATGCATTTAATATGACAGAGGTGCTTCCGATATGATCTGTCTTGACTCCAATACACATAACAATGGAAACATGTTAACTTCTCACAGCTAGCTGATATAATATCTTCTCTGATCAATATTCTAATGTTCCAAAGCAGTACAAGTTCAACATTTACTATAATCATCCAATTTGATCTTTAGTAATCTTGTCAATCATACAGGTATCAGTGTTTATTTATTTGTAATCGGCAGATATTTCTGAGCAAGTGGGCTTGTTAAATGGGCATATTGGTCTATTGGGTGGATCAGAAAACCTTGAGTAAGGCTCTCTCTTAGCTTAAAGATTTAGCCAATTTTGTAATAAATGATTTCCTTTAAGTTTTCTGATTAAGATAAAATAACCCCCCAAAAAGCTTTTGGTCTACTTTAAGTCCATCTTATAATACAGGACCGACAATATAGTCCACAGAAGCAAGTATATCCAGTATAAATAGAAACACTGCAATTCTGGACCAGTCTAATTCATGAGTCATACATGTAGATCTAACAGTCCCCAAATCTAGTTATATATCACACACAGATGAAAACTATAGTTTTCAAAGACCAAAGAAACAAGTAAAGACTCAAAATTAAGCTACAAAGAATGTTAACATGGTTAGTAACATAAACTTGGAAAGAATACTAGAATCAAACATTACAAGGGTGTTTTCACTAAAAAAACATATTGTCAGCTCCCATGTTCCAGAAATAAACATTTCTATTTACTGTTGCATAGGTTAATCTGGTTAATTACTTTAACATCCTCTGCGTAATATAAGAGAATTTTTTTTTTTAAATAATAATTAAGGTAATTAGGATCTTGCCTAAAAATTAGATAAAAAATTACTTCAATAATATGGAAGCTTGTATTTTAAAATCAAATTATATTAATTCAAAAGGAAATTCAATGTTTCAACTTAAAAACATACCTGCAAAGTGACAGAAGTTATATATACATATAATATGTATTTCCACACTTAAACATTGTGTCATTGCTATCCCTCCACAGTAGGTGTTCTGTTGTTGCAATGAGGTGGGATGACTTATTTCAAATTAACACCAGTGAAAAACCAGTAGGTTATATGTCTGAATGTCGTGTCAGCCCCTGGCAGAGAAAGGCTATAAAACATATTAAACATGTAGACCAGGACACAAGAGGGTTCATTCCTCACACACAGTAGCAGGCCACGATGGAGTGAGAGAGAGAGCTATAGCTGGGATAATTTATACACAGAAAGGAACACCATACCTCACTTAATTCACCTGTCTTCACACCAGGCCAGGTGACAGGTAGACTGGCCTAAAATATATATAAACTGCATGCAAAATAACAATTATCTTTGTGGTATAAATAGTCCATAAATGTATTAAGCACACCTTAAGAAGTATAGCTCTCAAAGGTCTAAGTTATCTCCCTTTATCACAATAGTCACAGATATACTATTAAATCCTAAAACATTGAAAAACCTCAGTGTTTCAGTTTGGATCCTTTGTGTCATCTGATATTAAACATACATACAAGAATCTTATATAACATTAATGAAGCATTGTTGTGCATGCACATGACTTATCTCCCCTTTATCTCATGATTTAATATGACAGTGGTTGCTAGTGTAGTATGGAAACAACAGATGAATGAATAGATAAAAATCCGCAAAAATGCTAATCTTCCTCATAAAAAAAAATGCCATAACTTATTTCCACATAAGATCGATTAACTAATTTTTTTCTGAAAGTTTGAGAAGTAATAATTATTAAAAATTCAAAATGTAAAACACCTTACCATCAGTTATACACCATAATGGATTTTCACTTAGTTTGCATTAAATACCAGCACAGCTCAGCAGCATATTACTTAAATGCTTCCACAGTACATACTACATTGTACATCTCTCATTCCTCATTAACTTTGTTTACCTGCAAGCACATCTTTACTCCCTTTCTTTTTTACCATTGCATCAACATTATACAGGAAAACTTGGCAAGAGTTCATACTTAGGAGAGTAAATAAGAGCTTTCATTTATTTATCAAGCTTTGATCATGTCCCATTTTAGAAATGTACTGGAGTTAAATTTTTTAATCACCTCAAAACCCTACTTGTTGCATTGTGTGTGTGGTCATCTTTTTTTTAATTGTTCCGAGACTTGGCATACTTACTTCTCCATTATTCTCAATTACTCTGGAATGCTGCAAACTGTAGGAAGCAAGGAACTGTTTTAATGTCAATTTAATTAACTTTTTTTTTAAAAATTTGAATGAAGAAATTCCTACTACAATGCACATACTATATAGTATAATACATGCAGTGGCATCTCTCCTTTCTTTCACCCTATTTATCTTAAGTGACTGCAACATAAATTATCCAAAAATGGTGGATGGGAAAAAAATATGATAATGACCTTTTCTCTTTTGAGAAGTCATAAATTCAATTGTCATTAATCCTCTTTAGTGGTTATAATGGAGATTCACTAACCCTAAAAAAAACATGCATGGTGAAAAAATTATCCTTTGCTTTTTACCAAAATTTCATAGACATCCTGTTTTTCTTTCCCTATCATTTTCATGAAAAACAATTTAAAATAATTAAACAACACTTATATCTTTGTTATGATTAAAATCTGACTGTGCATGCTAGAGTTATCTTTCTTTAATTCAGTTGTGACATGTTGATTTAAATGCAACATTCAAGGAATTGTAAAAGAAAAAAAAAACCAAGTGTATTATATACTCTGTATTGATATATTTTACCTGTTCCACTTGCAAATCTAACAAATCCTCTTTAATACCCTGAAGAACTCTCTTTCCTAAAATATTTTTGGAAACTACCTTTTTGAGTGTTTTTGCCAACACCTATTTGGAGGACTTAAAAAAAGCTATAGCATCCTCGTCTTTCAATTCTGTCTAGGTCTACCTCAAATCTAAATAAAATTTTCTTTTGTCAGGGCACAATTATTTCAACAATTATGGATTCAGAGATCCATTTACTGGCACAACTCTTTGAATTGAATTGGTGAAAATATCTCCTCCTCCTTTACTTTGCTGAATGCAAGTTAACTTTCAAATCAAGTTGAAGACTTAATCTAAAGGAAAAAAAAAACAAGATGTGTTTGCAAAACACTGATGTCCCCATATGGCAGCTCATTGTCAAGATTTAAGTTTTTTTTCCCCCAAATGAAAGTCAAGCTCTAAGGTCAAGCAGTAAAAACGTTAATACCCAGAGAAAAGTCTTGTCATAAGGAATACACATGTGAAATATGAAAGCCTTAGCACAATTGATTCAGAAGTTATGGCCAAGGATAAGGTCTTTCAAAAATAGGTCAAATGCTAAGATCATAGTCATGAGGTCAAAAATGTTGGTATCTAAGAAAAGTTTTGCCTCAAGGAATACACATGTGAAATATGAAAGCCCTAAGTACCAACCATTAAGAAGTTATGGTGAAGGTTCAAATTTCATAGATAGATCAAACTTCCAGGTCAAGATCATGAGGTCAAAAGTGTTGGTATCTTAAGAAAGGTCTTGTCACAAGGAATATACATGTGAAATATAAAAGCCCTAGCACCAACCATTCAAAAGTTATGGTGAAGGTTAAAATTTTTCATAAGTAGGTCAAACTCCTAGGTTAAGGTCATGAGATAAAACATAGGTAATCAGAGATTACAGAGCTCACCTCAACGAATGTTGTCTTTAAGTAAGGCAAAGTCCCACACTAAACTAATAATCTAGTAGTGTCCATCCCTAGATGCAACATTTATGCAATTTTGGTCTGATAGGGCTTGCAGTTACTTGGGAATAGACTTGTCTGAAAACTTAAAACTAGTCACTCATCCAGAAAATGTAAGTCAAATCCAGCATCCAAAGCAAGTTTGAGATTGTTCGTCCCTTGATGCATTATCCATGCAAGTTTGGTTCAGATAGGCCTTATAGTTACTTGGAAATTAGATCTGCTCCAAAAACTTTAACCTGGTTACTCATCCGGAAAATGTGGGTCAGATCCAGCATCCGAAGCAAGTCCAGTAGTGTGCCCCCTTAGATTTATCATCCATGCAAGTTTAGTCAATACAGGGCTAATAGTTACTTGGAAATGACATCTGCTCCAAAAACTTTAACCTGGTTACTCATCCGGGAAATGTAGGTCAGATTCAGCATCTGAAGCAAGTCCAGTAGTGTGAATCCTTAGATGTATCATCCATGCCCATCCATCCATGGTCAATATAAGGTTTATAGTTACTTGGAAATAACATCTGCTCCAAAAACTTTAACCTGGTCTCTCATCTGGAAAATTTAGGTCAAATCCAGCATCCGAAGCAAGTCCAGTAGTGTGTATCCTTAGATGTATCATCCATAAAAGTTTAGTCAATATAAGGCTTATAGTTACTTGGAAATGAGATCTGCTCCAAAAACTTTAACCTGGTTACTCATCTGGAAAATATAGGTCAGATCCAGCATCCGAAGCAAGTCCAGTAGTGTGCATCCTTAGATGTATCATCCATGCAAGTTTGGTCAATATAGGGTTTATAGATACTTGGAAATGACATCTGCTCCAAAACTTTAACCTGGTCACTCATCTGGAAAATATAGGTCAGATTCAGCATCCAAAGCAAGTCCAGTAGTGTGCATCCTTAGACGTATCATCGATGCAAGTTTGGTCAATATAGGGCTTACAGTTACTTGGAAATGAGATCTGCTCCAAAAACTTTAACCTGCTCCAAAAACATTAACCTGGTCATTCTTTAGCTGAAATTGCAACATCTGAAACCTTGACTGGTACAATGAAACACACTAGAAGCATCCTCCATGCATCTCTGACTAATATAGGCCATACAAGTACTTGAAAAGAAAACTGCTCCAAAAACCTTAACCTGGGACGCCGACGCCGAGGGTATTACATAAGCTCCCCCAACTTCATTGAGGTGAGCTAAAAATGTTGGTATCCAGAGAAATGTCTTGTCACAAGGAATACACATGTGAAATCTAAAGCCCTAAGACCAAGTGTTCAAAAGTTATGGGCAAGTTTTTGAGGACAGACACACAGGCAGACAGACCAAAATCTATATGCCCCTAAATCTTCAAATACAAGTGCATAAAAATTAAGATATTTTTGAAATTTAATTCATTTCCAAAATTGCATTTCAGTTATATAATTCACGGTATATACTGTAAATTTACAGCTTGTAGAAATCAGCTACATTTAATTTTAATTAACCCTCTCTTTACAGATTTTCAAGGTCAAATCCAAACTGAGAACATTTATCTTAATCTAGCTATCTCTATATCAATATGATTCAGATAATATAACTCTGTTTTAATTCCCAAATATGAAAGTGTGTGAACTGCAGTGCTCTACTAGTATTGATTTCATATTATAATCTACCTAACTTACCAATGACTTGTGCAATTTTGTGCCTAATGACATTAAAATGTTGACAGATAGCTAATATTAATACTTGTACATTCAAAATTTAAACATCAATCTATCCATGCTTTTATGACTGTATTGTAGGGGGAAATGCAGACACATATATTTTCAGATTTTCATGTAACACTTTAAGATTCTAACCTGTATCCAGGTAATAAACAAGCTGCTTTTATCTTGAAAGTGTAGATACCTTAGCATTATTTGCAAAGAAAATATTTGGACCAAACATTTTACAACTGGATGTCAATTTAAACAAGCATTCTGAGCAATACTTGTCCCTTACTGGCAAATGTAATCTGATACCCCTAAAAAATTAAAAAGTCCATAACTCCATAGAAAAATCATCAAAGTGGAATAAAATGCTGACTTAACTATAACTTTTATCAAGGACTCATGCACATATCAAAAATCAGCTCAATATATGCAAGCGTTTAGGGGAAAAGAACAGAATCTGTGATTCCCTTTAAAAAATTTTAAAAGGCTGCAATTCTGTTCAAAAATTATCAAAGTGCAAAGAAATGCACACTTTTTCTCTATATCTTCAAAGTACACTCACATACCAAAAATCAGTTCAATATCTCCAAGCATTTAGAATAAAAGGGCAGAAAACTAAGTGATAGAGACTGACAGACAGATGGAGAGAGACAGACAGATGGACAGACGAGGAGGAAACCTAGTCTCTGGTAGGGGACTAATTCATTGATTTTGCATCAGAACTTTTTTCAAGAAACCTATACATGTTAATAAGTTCCAATTATGACATACATTAAAAATTTAGTTACATCAACATTTTAAATTCATTTAAAAAAAAAAAAAGAAAAAAAAGGGCTAATCTGATCAAAGTATTTTGTCCAGTATTAAATTTAATTAACACTTTATCTATTTTAAATCTAAACAAGAAATAAAAAATAACAAAAATAACAAAAACTAGTAGACTAATTGTTCTCGAACAATTAGAGGTCTTTCCACCTTCTTTAAATTTCATATTTTTCATATTTTACTCTCTAAAGTTAATTTTTATACAAAAAGAATCCATAAATGGCTTGAAAGATAGAAAAAATGAAAAATTTTAAAAATTGGAAATGACCTTGACCTTTGACCTTGAACAAACATTCAAGGTCAAAGGTCAAGGGTCACATTGCACTTGACCCCATGCTTCTACGACTTTTAGTTTTAAAGTTATAAGGTTTAATATTAAGCGCAAAGACGTTAAAGGGCGATAACTCATATAAGGGGTCATCGGATACTTTCGCACTGAATAGATTGAAGTTGTGTCTAAAGACCCGGAAGACATTAGTGAAGGTTTTGTGCCTCTACGGTTTACGGTTTCGGAGGAGTAGCGATAACAAGGTTTTCAGTAAAAGGGGCAATAACTTTTAAAGGGGTAAATCTTAGGGGACAAGTATGAAATAGTTTTAAGAGGACATATTAATGATGCAAAGATATTTAGTAGATGTTGAAAGACAA